ACCGAATAGGACATTTAAAAACATAACAAATTTGAGTTTTTCACAACTTAGAAAACAACATTTGCTTTTATAGCTATGAAAAATCCGGCCATGTTTGAGGGTAGTGGTGGAGAGGAAAAATAGAAATAAATTAGAGTATAAAATAGTGCTATTTGATTATTGTGCAGTATATGCCTTTTGTAAAACTGCATTTGTTTGAACCAAATGTACATATTAGTGTTTTTTTAAAAATAAATCCTTAAATATTTAAACCTCATCAGTGGTTTGTGTATTAAGGCTGGAAGACTGGCCTTCTGCAGTGTCTAATATCTTTGTACAACTTGTGATCAAAAGATACAGTACATATTTCAGTTACCTACCTGTAGAGGTCAGACTTGAAGTTCACAAAAACTTTACATGATAGAATTTAAACCAGAGTTAAGAGTAAACATTTCAGTGCAGAAATAGCCACTTCCTTATTAACTTTAAACTGAATTACCTGATCTTAGTTTATAAATAGCATATTATATTAAATATATACACACGCGCACACACACACACACACTATGGATGTGCATAACCAGCTTGGAATAAATAAAAATGGAGCCTTCTCCCCTATCTTGAAAGGAACCAAACCTAAACCTTTTATTAGGTTCTAAAATATTTAGAAGTGTTTCTCTCTCACTAATCCCCTTCTACCTTTGATACATCTCAGGTTCTCAGAATGTCTGGCATTCTCTGCTGGGCTGGCTGCTGACTTCCAATCTAACAAATTCCAGGGTTTCTGTGGGATCAAGGGTGGGGACAATGCATTCTGGACCCCTTCTAACCTGAAGAAGCCTTTGAGCTCAGTAAAAATAGTGCCAGATCTTAGAATCCATCAACAGAATAGCACCAAAGGTAAGGGGTCTGCTGGAGGGTGGGTCAGGGATACACTTTGAGACTGAGGAATTAGTAAATGCTCAGGGGACTTGCTGGAGCTCAGCAGAGTAGAAAGATGGAGTCCGGGAGAAGAATCAGATGGGTGGGGAGGCAGAAACAAATGTAAGGGGACTTTTGTCCCCTTACTAACTCAGTGGGGGTTTTTCAGAAGGCTAGCTCCCAGGACTAAAAGTAAGGGGAAGGATCAATGGGAAATCAGGGTAAAGGAAGGGGGAGCGAAGACTCAGATCCTTTCGCTAACCCACTTCACCAGGGTAGTGTATAAGCCAGGAAAGTTCCCCACAATAGTGGGCCTCTTCCCCTGCTTACACTAGTAAGGGAGAAAGAAAAGGGACGCACAAAAATGTGGATAAAGTTTTGAATAAGCATCAGAACTTCCAGGGCTTATTTGAACTGAACTTCCAAACCTTTAAGGTTTCCTATACGGTAGTCTACCTTTTGCTGCACCGTTTTTCTGTATATTTGTGCTATTTCGTGCTTATACTGTTTCTGCAGGTTGTGAAGAGTTATTGCACATCACTTGAGAGCTAAAGCCTGTAATATGAAATCGACCCTGTATGGAACTTAAAAGGCACCACAACGGTTTGAGGAAGCAGAGTTTGATCTGATGTTTATCATAAAAATAGTTCTTAATGTTTCAAAGTGATACTTCATAGATATATTTATTATATTATCTTATGGGGATATGGGTGGAAAGATGTGCAATTCAAAAAAGCTGGAATATAACACTTTAAGGTGTGTTTATTTGGCCCTGCAATATGATTAGATTTTTCTTGGTACATGTTTAGGTCTAAAAACACTTTGAAAAGTACTAAAAAGATTAAGAGAAAGCTAGGCTCTACTCCTGGCCCAGGGGGACAGAGACTGAGAAGACACAATAGTTTTGTTATCAATTTTTATTATAACAAAATGGACTGTAATGACAATATTTTGCCACAATAATACACTTGTAAATTATCTAGTTGTATTAAGATTTTATTACTGCTGAAAGGAGTTGGTACTTGATAGTCCATCACTTTATTTTTTGGGAAAGAAGGATTAATTTTTTGCATTTCTATAAGAGGCCTGACAATTGCACCTGGGCACCTAACTCTCGGTGTCACGTTGCATGTGTGTTATAAGAAAGTTATGTATTCATCCTGTCAATGTCACTTCAGGCTCAGCCAGAGCAGCTGCTGTGGAGCTGAATTCCTTCTCTCTTGCCCCCCCAGCATCTGAATTCAGAGTTTGTTAAATTCCCCTACTTGACTGGCTCCAGAAGGGAAAAATGGCCAGTGAAAGTTTCTCAGGTGGTGTTGCATGGAACTACCAGTATAGCACCAAGCTGACTCTCACAATTCCAATATGATAATTCACATGTGTAAAGTTCTTCACATCTGCAAGTGTAGCCCTTTTGCCACATGCCGCTGTCAACAATGAGGACTGGGTTAAATCTCTGTCGAATAAAAAAAACTGTGGCTCTAGCTCCCACCCAGAGGCGTGTTCCTACTTCTGGATCTGGAAAATAGAACCGCTGTGGTCATCTTGGCAGCTGATTCTTCCCCACTGAAAAACACTCAGGAATCCTTGGGAATATGGAACCACAACTACTTTAATTTTTGGTGGGGGTGGGAAAGTAAAAAAACAAATCAAAACAAGTGTGAGACACTAGCCACATAGATATCTATATACAGGAAGGTAAGCAAAACCCCTATCAATGGGTCAGGAGTATGGTGTCAGGAGTATGGCCGGTTCCACAGATGCAATGTATTATTTGACGAGCTGGTTGATGTTTGGAAGTGTTACCCATGAAGCAATCCCCATCTGCCAGAACCCCATTCATGGGTCCATTTAGAGTAGTAATCAGAGGGACATCAAAGGTTGGCTCCCCTGTGCCTGTCAGCTCAAGTCTACACCACTGATATCAGCTGTGGTGAAGTTAATTCTGTTCTACAGGGCTCCTCCAGGCATGGGTGAAGTCTGCTCTGCAGAGTCTCTTGGGTAGGCAAGCACTTTTTTCTCTAGGAAGCTTTGGAATGCTACCTGCTTAACTATATCACTTAATTTTGCACCTTGACTATTGACTCTAACTCCCAAACTCTGTGTCAAAATTCTCAAAGTGTGTGTTTTGATCCTGAGCCTGGTCCACTGAAGTCAAAGGTTAAAACTCATTTACTGAAGTAGCAGAGGATTAGGCCCTGTGACATTTTATTGGTGAGATTCAGTGATGCATAGCATTTAATTAATTGCCCAGTTGGTATAAGGGTGTGTGGTTGGAAATGATTCTGACATGCAAAATCTGAGGTGTACTTTAAATGTTGTATTTAGGTCTACTTCTCTTCAGGTTTTTGGTACTAAAACGTAAGTGTTGTTCCGGTTCCATACCAAGTCAAACCCACCCCCTATGCCTCTTGATATAGGTTGACATGGTGAGCAGAGTACAATATAATCATGCAATGGAAAAATTACAATGGAGAAGTTACTTATATCCTTAACAGAAAATGTTCTGATATTTATGTTGTCAGCTGCACTGTTATATTAGAATACATCTTAATCTTTTGTAAGGGGAACAGAATCACATCTTTACTTGTACATTAATGACAATTTTGCTTAGGGGAATTAGTATAAATCTTGTAATTAGATTAGGAAAAGAGGTGAAAAGCACTACTTCCTGTCCTCATTAAGTTGACTTTTGAATATTGGGGGGAGGGGAGTAGAAGCACCACATAATAGGACCCGCTCCTGCATACACTTAACCCTGTAAAGTAACATGTGTTACTTTATTCACATGTGTTTTCTGTAGGGCTGTCAAGTGCAGTTAACACATGATTAACTCAAATTAATTGGGATTAATCACTGTTAAACAGAATACCAATTGAAATGTATTAAATATATTTGGATATATTTTTAATTACATTAATATATTTCTATTACAACACAAAGTATACAGTGCTCACTTTATTACTAATATTTGCACTATAAAAATATAAGTATTTCAATTCACCGCATACAAGTGCTGTTGTGCAATCTCTATCATGAAAGTAACTTACAAATGTAGATTGTTGTTGTTACATAACTGCACTCAGAAACAAAACCATGTAAAACTTTAGAGCCTACAAGTCCACTCAGTCCTACTTCTTGTTCAGCCAATCACTAAGACAAACAAGTTTGTTTACATTTATGGGCGATAGTGCTGCCTGCTTCTTATTTACAATGTCACCTGAAAGTGAGACCAGGAGTTTGCATATCGCTTTTGTAGCTGGTGTTGCAAGGTATTTATGTACCAGACTGGGCATAAGAATGTTTAGCCTTTCAAGCTTCGGCCACCATTCCAGAGGACATTCTTCCATCAGTAGAGCTGATGACTCATTTAGAATAATGCATTAAATAAACTTGTGACTGAACTCTTTGGGGGAGAATTGTATGTTTCCTGTTCTGTTTTACCGCATTCTGCCATATTTCATGTTATAGCGGTCTTGGATGATGACCCAACACATGGTTGTTTTAAGAACGCTTTCAGAGAGGATTTGACAAAACGCAAAGGAGGCACCAATGTGAGACTTCTAAAAATAGCTACTGCTCTTGAACAAAGGGCTAAGAATCTGAAGTGCCTTCCAAGATCTGAGAGGGACGAGGTGTGGAGCATGTTTTCAGAAGTCTTAAAAGAGCAACACTCACATGTGGAAACTACAGAACCCAAACCACCAAAGAAAAGTCAACCTTCTACTGGTGGCAGCTGACTCAGATGATGAAAATGAGCATGCAGTAGTCTGCTCTGCTTTGGATGGTTATTGAGCAGAACCCGTCAGCATTGATACATGTCCTTTGTAAGGGTGGTTGAAACATGAAGAGACATAGGAATCTTTAGTGCATCTGGCACGTAAATATCTGATGATGCCAGCTACAACAGTGCCACGAGAACACCTGTTCTCACTTTCAGATGGTGACATTGTAAACAGGTAGCATTATCGCCCATAAAATGTAAACAAACTTGTTTGTCTGAGGAATTGGCTGAACAAGAAGGAGGTCTGTGTGGACTTGTAGGCTCTAAAGTTTTACATGGTTTTGTTTTTGAGTACAGTTTTTTTGGTATATAATTCTATATTTGTAAGTTCAACTTTCATGGTAGCGTTTGCATTATTGTACTTGTATCTCTTTACAGTGCAAATATTTGTAATACAAATGAGCACTGTACACTTTGTATTGTGTTGTAATTGAAAGACATTTGAAAGTGCAGAAAATGTCCAAAAAATTTAAATGCTATTCTTTAATAGCACAATTGTGCAATTAATCAATTTTTTAAATTGCTTGACAGCCCTAGTTTTCTGATTAGTTTCTTTCAGACTACTTATGTGAATAAAGCTATGGATGTGCTTAAAACATTTGCTAGATTGAGCCATAATACTGTAAAATTAGTAATATAATAAGCAGAATCACTTGATGTTTAAATAAAATGGTACAGATCCTATGCCAGTATAAATTGGCAGTTTCCATTGAAGTCAATGGAGCTTTGAGGATTTACATCACATGAGGATCAGGCCCAGTGTTTTAGGGGAGAATGCTAAATTCTGCTAATTAGGCAAGCAAGAAAAGTTTAGAAAATGAACCCATTTGCCTGTCTCCCTTCTTTCCCAGATTTTTTGCAGAACATAGATCCAGAAAAATTGAGATTCAGAATTTACCTTTTCAAACAAAAGGTAACATTAACATTTTTGAAATGAAATGTTTCATTTCAGTTTACTGAACTGATCTAAAATGTTTCATTTTGAGCCCGTTAAATACTAAACTGTATTCCCCTTGTAGCATATTACCTCATGGGAGATGTAGTTCAGGCACCTGATGTTCCCTTTCTCCTGTAGAGGCTAGGCTCCATGGCTGGACTACATCCCCCATAATGTTCCCACAGTCATGTGACTCATGATGCACTAAGTAGTTTAGTCAGGGAAATCCACATTTCATTATAGTCCTCAAGGGAGCCTGGCCCATAGAGAATGGGGTCTGAACCGCAAACCCTCAAAGCAATGCTCTGATGGGAAATTCAGTTTAATATTTTGCCGAACTCTTTTGAAATGAAATGTTTCAACTCAAAACACGAAATATTCCAATTCAAGCTGACCTGACCAGAAATGAACAATTTCAATTTCCCAATATAAAAATGAAAACTCAGCAAAATTACCAACTATCTCTAGATCAAGAATATCCAGAGTTGTCCAAAAATTTTGGAATTATAATAACTCATGTTTCAGGTCATAAGCCTGTTTCTATTAGAGACCAGGAGGAGACCTACAGTGGAGGTCAGATTATTCTACATCCGCATGTTGCAAAGTTCTTATACCTTCCTCTGAAGCATCTGGTGCTGGCCACTGTCAGCGACAGGATGGTGAACTAAATGGTCTTCGTCTGATCCAGTCTGGCAATTTCTAGGTTTGACAGAAGCCTGTTGGCCAAGGGTCCCCAGTCTTTTGCAAACAACTCTCACCAGACCTAACACTTATTATACCAAACACACATCTCGCAGGCTATTTATCCATAAAGAGTAACATGTAAAGGTACCTACAAAAAGCGTATAAATAGTCAAGATTTATAATCATTAAGATATGCACTTGGGTAATATTTAAGGAATAGGTTTTATGGACTTTGAGTAAGAGTTAGTTACCAATGGATGTTACCAGTATGTCTTGATGATGGTCCATTCAAGCAGGAGGACACTGTCACTCCTCCTTGGTTAGCCAGTGATGTAAAGCAAGGCTCAATGATCTACCTTGCTCCATCCCAAGACTATTGATGGAAACCATCAAAGACAACAGCAAACAATGAAAATCACTTGAGGTGAAAAAGGGTATAAAAAGGGCAGGGGATTTCCATGTTTGAGTAGAGGCAAAAGACTGATTCCATATATTAGAGTGCAGAGAAGCCTCCTTAGTGAAAGGATGCAGATAGGCTACCATGGAAGAATTGGGTTCTGGTTTCTGTGAAGACAGCCAACTCTGCAACAAACTGACCTGTTGAGAGAGAATCTATGTTAGGAAAGGTATTGATACATGTAGACCCAGGTTTGTTTTATTATTTTGTATTGTAAATGTTTCCACCATTCTCTGGTTTCTAGTTAAATCTCCACTCTTTTTTAAAATAAACCTACTCTTGTTTTATTCTCACAAGTGCTGTGTTATATAGGAATAGGAACTGTGATTTAAGGTAAAACTGGGCAGAGGATCTGGAATTTCTGTGAGTAGTTAGTGTCAAGGGCTGGAGATCACAGGGGAATGATTCAAAGGGACTCAGGGACTGGGGTGCACTTATTATTAACCTGCATGGCAAAGACAGGGCTGGCATGTAGGGTTGCCAACCCTTCAGGATTGTCCTGAAGTCTCCAGGAATTAAAGATTAATGTTTAATTCAAGATTGTCATGTGATGAAGCCTTCAGGAATAGATCCAACCAAAACTGGCAACCCTACTGGCATGGTCTAGAGAAGAGTGCTTTGAGTAGCATGGGTTTAGGGAGCCAACACCTCACTGAGTCCGGTGAGGCTACCTGTTGCTACAGGGAGGGGATAACAAGGTGACACACAGTCCTGGGAACCCAGAGAACTGTTGCATTCTGTTCCAAACTCTCAGGTAAAACTGCAAATGGAGACTTCAGTAACCAGGATCAGACTTGTATTGTGGTTGAGACTAATGTGCTATGCTGCAATATAGCAAGTAAAGGCAGAAATGTAAGATGTAATTTTCTGAAAAAAATGCAGTTAAAAACCAGCAAGTTCCTCATGTCCCCTGAAAAATGAAATTTGTGCTGCAAAAACTGCAAACAGTGTCAAGAGAACAAAGGCAGGGCTACTTTGGGAGAAATGTGGAGACAGCAGGATTCTTGTCACTTTCAGCATGCTGTCTGGGTAAAGAATTGGGACAGGAAAACAAAATGGCAAAGGGTGGAAGGAAATCAAGTTGCATGGAAGTGACTGGGGCACATACATGCACAAATCTGCACCTGTGCTCTGGCGTGATATAGCAGGGTCAAAATCAATGCAGTTTGCTTAATCAAATAAATTAGCTTTGCAGTCCCTTTTTAGAAATGAATAAAATGCACTGAATAGAGCAACTGGTAGAGATTAATATATTTTGATGCAGATACCCCCTTTAACAATGCCCCGTGAAACCAGTGGCTGTAAAGAGTTAATGTTGGTTCTTTTCTGATTGGATAAAGAAAAGAGTGCAGTTAGGTAAGGATTCCTAACTGGGAGTTAAACAGTTCAAAAGTGCACTATATTGTTTTGGTCTAATTAACACAACATGGTGATAAGACATTAAAGCAGAGTGACAACACTATACATTGATAACAGAGGACGTTAATGCCTGCAGACACAGCCTACATTGTAAAAATCTGGGAAAAAAATGCTTATTATGTTAGATAGGTCAATGTGGCTTGACCTAGTTTTGCTTTGCTGCCTGGAAATTATGTCAGTATTAGTTATGTCATCCCGTTGCTTGAACAATTTAACATCCTTTTTGCATTGCAGTGTCCTGCTAGTACTTTTATATATATATATATATATTTACTTATTCTTTACCAGGATCCTACAGGCTAATAATTGTAGAGATCTGCATTTGACAAAGCAAACTAACCAACCACCACCACACTCCAAAATTGTCTCTTTTTGATATGCCCTTTGTGTGGTAAGGAGGGTTTTTTTTCTGTCAATAAATAGCAACCTATAAAAATCCTAAGGCATCTCTTCTCCCCTTGATGTAAATGTATAACTCGTGTTAAGGTTACGGAGTGAAGAACAACTAGGCCTCATGTTGCCCCTACACAGCTTTATTTATGGAAATATATTTTTAGTTTTGTGATAATTAGCTGTTTGCCTTTATCATTGTATAGAGCTTACCGAGTTCTTGTGAATAAGCAGATTTCCTCCCCCTGCGAAATGGATGAGATCATAGGAAATAACTTGTAATTCATCTAGACAAAATTTTGCTCAGCATTGAAGATAAAACTTGGATTTCCCTAAATATTCATGTTTTGTCTTCACATTTGTTTTTTTTTTTCCAGTGTCAGGGCTGGGCCATACAATCTGCCCTGAGTAAAAGGGTGATTGTTAGCGTTGTGTATTTGGTTGTCGTGGTAATAGCCAAAACTGCTGCCCCCAAGGATACAACAGTTAGTGCCTCAGGAGCAAGCTAAGGAATGAAATGTGTCTCTTCTTCCTCCCTGCTCCAGTGAGGAAATAATCGGCTCCTAGTGTAGCAAGTTACTTCCTCCTCTGCACCAGTTCATCTCTGCTAGCTCCTGTGTTAAGGTGGTGAAGCTGTGGCTCCACCTACTCCTCAATTCTACCCACCCACTCACCAACCAGCTGCACAGATGGGGGAGTAGTGGCCCTGGAGAGTTAACTGTGCCCCCCTCCCTGCCTTCCCCCTCTTGTGGCCTCTTAAGCCTCTGCATGTTCTTGTCAGGGCAAGTCATATTCTGGCTTTGTGTAGCATTTCTACATATCCAGGAAAGAGTTTTGAATCCTAATCTTGCTCCCATTGGAATCAAAGGGGAGAGGCTTTTGGCTAGTGCCTCTGGACCCAGTCATGCAGGCATGTGAGAATAATCATGGGACTACTTAGGTGGGTGAATTTACACACACATGCAAATAGTTGAACACTCACACCCTCTTGCAGGAGCAGGGGGCGTAGGCCTTTTATCATCTTTTAAAATTTTTTTAAATGAATGATATGAAATGGTCCTCAGGGTTTGAATGTGGCCTTGTTCCTCTCAGTGTTAAAATATTCTAATGTGGAAAGAGCTGTATAATTTCTCCACCCTTTCTTCACAAATAAATGTAACCTTCAAAAGGTCCTGGTGCTCAGATTTTCAGCTCAAGTAAAATTGCTTTCTAAAGTCCTTGAATGTGCATTAGATGTAAATGCTCTTATACCCCCCATTATCAAGCTTAATTGGAAAAAAAGCCTGATAAGACTATGCCTTCAAAGATGCCTCATCAATACTTCTGAAAGGTGAAGAAATGGCTGGAGCTAGAAGTCTAGTATTGCTAGAGCAGTATAAGCACATGCAGTTACCGTAGATGACCATGGCAATCTGCAAGGAAATGGAAAGAGACGATCCCTGCTCCTTGGAGTTTACAATCTAAAACAGATCAAGAACACAACAGCAGGTCATGATGGGGAAAAATCCAAATGATTTAAAACTGATCTCTTTACGCTGCTGTTAATTAGCCTATGGAACTCACTTGCCACAAAATATCATTAGGAACAAGAATTTAGCTAGATTAAAATTTCACTTAGCTATTTATATGGATAAGACTATCCACAGATATACTAGCAAAGAAAAGCACTTTAGAGGTCTCGGTCTTCATGCTTCAGGACATAAGTCAACCAACAGCTGTCTGAGGTTAAGAAACTTCCCCCCACAGTAGGTTATTTTAGAGTTGCCCATTGCACGGTTTTACAGTTTATCTGTTTCTATGGAATGATACTAAAAATAAATCCTCCTCCTACATTCTGAGGGTAAGGTAGATTCCTCAGTGAGAGCAGATCTTTTGAGCTGATTCGTTTCCCCATGTATTTTGTGGGAAGAGATGACTAGGCATGGACCAGAATACTAGCGGTTGAAATAGAGAAGAAAAAAGATGGAAGTTCAAGCTGTTGTTGTTTGGTCTCTACAAGACTTAGCAACACCTGGATATAGGAAGAAAAGAGGAATCAAATATGACACCAAGTTTGAGCTTTGTGTTGGGGAGAATATTGGAGTTAACAGAGAAAGAGAAGGGAAAGTTTATGAAGAAATGTAAGATTTTATTTTAGCTGTTGAGTCTGAGTGTGTAGTGGGATATCCAGACAGAGAGAGACAGCCAGTGCTGCTTTTTTGGGGGTCAGGATTGGATTGCCATTGGAGGGCAATCTCAATGGTTGTGCATCCTAGCTTATGTGTAGCTGTCTGAGAAGTTACATTGCTCAAAAAAAAAAAAAGAGGGAAAAGTTACAATACATTTTGCCAATTCCCTCCCACCCCCCCAAAAGTTAATTGCAAATTTTCATACTAATTTCTAAAGTAAAATAATTTTGACCAGCCTCACTGAGGCATTTTTTTAACTTCCTCCTACTAGATAGTAGTGTGCAGAGCAGGCTGACTTAAGGCTCTTCCCTCCTCCTCCTCCCCCTCCCCCCACCTCAGTCTTTCTATGCCTTCATACACCAGAGCAGACACCAAGGGAGGAGGTGGAAAGAAAACACTAGCCCCTTTACTATCTGTGCACTGTGTCTGCACTGCAGCACAAACACCAACTCTGTGGGTGGCACGTGAACTGCCAGGTGGGGGAGGCTAGCCCTTAGTCCCACCCTTTCCACCTGATGCTCCACCCTTTCCACACACCCCACCAAAGCCCCACCAACCCCTTGCGGCTACCGAGCCTTGCTTAGCTCCCCCACCCCCCCAAAGCGCCAGGAGGGCGAGTGGTGTAGGGAGACTGGAGCGCACACAAAGCAGGAGGGAGGACCTGGGAGTGGAGCACGAACAGGGCTATGTCTGGCTGTTTGGGGCGGCACAGCCTCCCCCAACCTATGGTACTCAATGTCCATGACCAATTGCCCATTTTTTTGGCATAAGTTTTAGTGTTGGCAACAGGAAGGAGATTCTGAGAGTCACCATGATAGAGCTGTAGTTAGAGCTATGAAAGAGGACTATGTTACCTAGGGATAATATGCAGAAGGAAGAACCCTGAGAGAAGCCAACAAAAGGAGAAGATAACAAGTGGGGCAAAAATGGAAAGAAAAGAAGAGAACTAGGTAATCATGGGATGATCACTAGGAAGGAGAATAGACCCAGGAGTCCAAGGATAAGATTTTCTAGAGTGACTAATGATTTTTAGGTGCCTCCAGTTTTGGGTTTTGCTCATCTTGAAGCTTTGAAGGGGTCAGATTTTCAGAGGATGGGTGTACAGCAATTTCTGAAAATCAGGCCTTTTTAAAAGTGTCTCAAGTCAGTCAGCTAAAATAATTTATGAAATTCTTGAACCATGTGTGCTTGAAAAAGTATCAGATCAACAATGAGAATGGGTTTTTAGGCATTACGTGATTATAGGTTGTCTTGGTAAGTATAGATTGAGTAGAACATGAAGAGCAGAACAATACTGAACGAGTCTGAGGAGAAAAAGCTGAAGAAGTAGGAGTAGATGGCAAATGAAGAGCCTGGGGGCAAAGAGGAGGAAGAAAATGGGGTAATAGTTGGAGAAGCAAGTAGGTTTGAGACAGGAATTTTTAAAACAGGGATTCAAAGAAGGTGTCATGGGCAGCATTCCCTCTAATTTTTCCCCACTCATGTGCAGAATGAATCTTGCTCTGTGCACCAATATGGAGGTGATGTGCGAGGGAGGGGGCTCAGCATAGGGCTGAGGGTTGGGGTGTGAAGGCTCTGGCTGGGGCAAGGGCTCTGGGGATGAGGTGTTTGGGATGTGTAGGGGGCTCAGGCAGAGGGTTGGGGTGCAGGGCCAGGCTCTGGCTGCGGGTGCAGGCTCTGGGGTGGAACCAGGGATGAGAAGTTTGCAATGCAGGCAGGCTGCCCCAGGGCTGGGGCCAGAGGACTCCGCCACAGCTCTCTTCCCACCAGCAGCAGAGAGCTCCAGAAGAGGGGGAAGAGGCCCACAGCAGCCCTGGATGCTCAACTTGCTCCCCTTCCCAGTTCCCACCCACCCCTAGCCTGCTGCACAGCCTTTTACAGCCTGCTGCAAGGCTGCACAGCTTAGAGGGAACTTAGGTCACAGGGCCAGTACACCCCATGAAAGGTGGGGTGGGCCTGCAGTTAAAGCCAGTGGGGCTTCCCTGGACTACAGGGAAGTGCAGCCCAACGGCCAGAGTCAATGGGGCTCCCCTGGACAGTCAGTGAGGAATCCACCCACAACACACCCACTTCTGCCAGGACCCTGGCTCATCCTTCCCTGGGCTACATCCTACCATGACTCCTGCAGCTGAAGTCACAGTGTCTTTGCAGTCTCTGGGCTCCTCAGGTAGTAACTGCAATCTCCTTAGGTCATCCACAAGTGCCTGGGCCTCAGCATCTCCTACTCCAGCTATCTGGGATCCTGACTGCTACTCAGCTGGCACTGGCAAGGTGCATCCTTCCTCCTCAGCAGTGAACCCAGTCTGAGCTAGGCTGCTTGTTTTTATACTGCAGCAGCAGTTGGAGCATGCCCAGCAGGGGGCATGGCTTCTGCTGCTAAGAGCGCTGCTTTAATCTGTTCCGCTCCATTGCGGGGCCAGTACACCCTGTCACAGAAGGCCTCACAAAAGAAGTACTGAGAAAAGTCATTGCTAACTTCATACACTTCTCCATTAATATGTGTGCCTTAACCCTGCTTCAGTCTGTGAGTGGCATAATGATCAATGGTGATTTATCTCAAATAAATCCTCTGGTCCCCTAGTTTTGATTCTCATGTTTATTATATAAATCAAAGAAAAAGTACATTTTTTTAGTATGTAGTTTTGAGTTTAGCTTATCTAAAACTCACTAAAAAAGTTTTTCTCCAAGGATCAAATCCCAAGGGGATTTTTCTATAATTTGAGGAATTTTGTACATTCTCTCTCATCAAGCTTTTTACTGATAGCTGTAAGCTTGATAATGAAACCAGATATAATCAATTTAGAAACCAAATGGAAAAAAAAGTTTAATATTTTTTAAAAAGAGTGAAGCAAAATTTAAAGGGATGTTGTCAACTTAAGAGATTCTGGGAAATACCTTATTCCATTTTTTAAACACTGTTTATGAGCTCTCATTGAGCCAGACTGTGAGCCCCTTGCTCTCACTGGTGAACATTTACTCACACTGGGATCTACCTGTGTGAGTAAACATTCATCAGCAGGAGTAAGGGACTTGTTCTCTGGCCCTTAGTAATAAAAACAAACATTGAAATATTTTGCTCCATTGTGCAAGAGTTTTACATTAGCCCTGAGGCGTGGACAACCTTGTGACACACACTTTTGATGACCTCAGCTATATGGTGCTGTATCAGGTCTTTAAGATCAATATTTTTAGTGTTTATGTGTTGTTTTAATCAACATTTGTATGGCTAAATCTAGTGCTAATGAAAGTGATATAACACTGGCTAGAATGTTGTGGGCAAATTCAATAACAGAGAACTCCAGCCATACCAAATTATATGCTGGTGTATGATTCTGATGTAGTCAAATATTCTTATAAGATCCCCAAACACATGCAACTGTGTAACCTAGGCAGGGTTTGAACCTAGGTCTTCAGAAATGAAAGGCGACTGAGTTAATTTACTTCCCCAGCCTTGTACAGTAATATTTTAAGTGAATAGTAGAATCATAGAACTGGAAGGGACCTCGAGAGGTCATCTAGTCCAATCCCCTGCACTCATGGCAGGAAGGGAATTAGCTATTCTACTTTTAAAGGATAAAATTGTAATGTTTTCAGTATGTGAATTGACACAGAGCAAAATTCACACCGTAGTTTATTTTGTAGAAAATCAAGCAAGTCAGTGAAACTTTGGGATTCGATCATTTATGCTTTGGAGGTTAATTTATTTATTTTTAATTCTAACTGTTGTTGGGGTAAAAAGGTTAGTCATAGCTTCAGGTGATGATAGATACATTGTTTAATATTTGTGTTTATGCTCAGAATAAAGTCAAGAATCTTTGCCTAAAGTGCGAGAATGAATGTGATTCAGAATGATTAACACCCAGAGGAAATTTCTGAAGAGTTTATTTTGGCTAGTCTATAATTGATAATTCCCATGGCTAATGGCATGCCAGGCGCCACGTCTATCACCATCTGCAGATCTTAGCTCCGAGTAGCAGTTATTGGTCACATATGGTAGCTTGTCAACTGTCATTTTAAAAACAGAATGCAAAAGGGCACCTTGGTAAATTACAGCAATTGGGGGCTTAAATGATTCTGATGGTGGGCGGGGAGGGGGAATAAATGTAGCCCTGAGGTGAGCCTGCCTGCTGAAGGCAATAGACTTCCCCTCCCCCACCACTTGGGACTGCAGGTGAATGTGATTTGAGAGAGGTTTGCAGAATAGAAATTGGATCAAAGTGCTCTTTTGGTGCATGGTGCCCCATGTCTTCACCTGTAGGGCGGCAGACATGGTTGGGTCTGAAGGCTCTGGGTGCATTAAAGTTTGTTGGATTTGGGGTTTTTGACAGTGTGGTCTCTTGCCTCCTTCTACTGTTCCTTTAACAGTGTGGCTCTCTTGCCTCATTTGTAATGCTACAATACTGTACTCGGTGTAAAGCACTCTAGGCCAGATTTATCCCTCCACAGTGAAGGAGGGGAGGATGTTTTTTGCTTACCCTATTCTGCTGGCAGCCATAACTTGGGCCACTTGCTGCATTGCCATGTGATGCTTGCAATAGGAGTTAATTATTGGCATGCAATTTGGAATAATGGATCCGGGTAATATCACCTCCCTCTTCCAATCCATCACTGACTGCTCCACGCTGTCTCGAAATGCTCCCTGGTCTGTGGATCCTGAAAAGGCAGGGGTGGGGGAGAGGAGGCTGCTCGGTGCTAGGGTAGGTCATGCAGCCCTTTGCTGGCCACTTTGCCCAAACCTAGCTGGTATAAAAGAGTCACAATGCTGGGATATATATCCCCTGGAGATATTCAGCCAGGTGTATCACTGCTCAGTGGAACATTCCTAACCCTTTAGTGTAAATTTGTAAAGTGCCCTCAGGGAACCTCTAGTTCTGTTAAAAAAGTAAACAGTACATGTACTGTTCAACACTATAGGGCTACAAAGTAAAATTGCATAGTTCTGTTCCTGTAGAGCTGGTTGGAAACCAGAATTTTCATTCAGCAGGAAATTCTGAAATTTCTGCGATGATGATATCCTGAATTGGAATGATGAAAAGCTGAAATATTGAAATTTCCCATGGAATGGAACTTTGAAACATTTTTTAATTCAGAACCATTGCAACAATTTGGAATTCAATTTCATTTTAATTATGTCAAATCATTTCATTTTGACTTTTATATTATATCAAAATATTAAATATAATATAATTATTAAACACACCTTATAAGCAGTGGAGACACAACTGCAGAAGAGATACTTCTATAGATGAAACACCAGCTGGGGCTACAGATACCACAATGATGGGTCTGATATAAAAGCCTAGATGCGTGGAAAAATAGAATATTAATAATGCATTCACATTCATATAGCACCTTTGATCTCAAAGACTTTAAAAATTCTTTAGACATATTGCTCTGGTAAAATTTGGCCCTGGTTTAAAGTGTTTATATTAAAAATATGATGCACAGCTGTAGCAATTAATTTTAAATATTGTGCAGGTTTATTCTTATGTTTAACAATATTGAGGTAGGAAGTCTACTTATTAAAGCACTGGACTGGGATGCAGGAGAATGGGTTCAATCCCTGGCTCTTTTACAACTTCCATGCTCTCTCTGGGTATATGTTCATTGCAGACTTCGCTTGGACACTTGGTGTTGTTCCTAACCTCCTTCCTGTCCACACACAAAAACCTCTTAGTTGAGTCTGGTGGTGCTTTCAACCCAGGCTTGTTGGCCTAACTGAGGATATAGGTTGGAGGTCAAGTTCCGCTTTCACATGGGCTGATAACCTTTGCAGTGAGGGTGCAGGTTTTATCACTTGAATGCTGATAATCCTCCAGTGCCTTCCCACGATTGCCCCCGTGTGCCCAGAAGCACAGACAAGTTCTCCCACAGTTCACTGGGAAAGCAGTGTAGAGTGGCTCAGCTTACTGCAACACAAAGAACTGTGGAATGTGTCCCTAGAAATCCTCGTGATGCATGCGGGAGGGAGGGGGTGTAGCATCAAGACACAACAACTCTGGTTAGGGCTTTGCAGTGTGCAGTACTTAAAGTGTGTCTGGGCAGTGAAAGATCTGACAAAATAAAATAAAAATGAGCTGGATCACTGAGAGGTGCACTTTAAGCACTGTTTTACCAAAGCTGCTGCTCCCAGACTGAGAGACCCCTTCTCCCTTGTGCCCCCCCCCGACTTTCTTCAGACTACTTTAGCACTGGCAGCATGATTGCTCATATCTAAGGTAGGCTAATCTGGGTGCTCAGACCCAGATGCCAATTACTTTGCAGTGAAGACTTACCATGTGCGACCTAAGGCAAATCACTTAAACTACCCTGTGTTTCAATTCCCCAATCTGTAAAATGAGGATAATCCTTCCCTGCTTCACCAAGATGTTGTGAGGATAAAATCCATTAATGATTGGGTGGTGCTTGGATGTTGGTGCTGAGGGCCAGATAAATACCTAGATAAACGATGTGTTTTTTTTTTTTAATATCAGGTGTGAAAATACTTAACCAAAGTTGTTGTCAGTGTTATACCTATACAGTTCTTCAAATAGGATTACCCTGTGGAGCTACCTGTTCAGGTATATTTTAGATGACACTCATGTTCTGCTCTCATATTGACTTGAAGCTTTCAGCCATCATCCTTGAAATGAGGACAGTGGAAGATGTCAGGAAGAGCTTGTATAGAAAATTGAAATTGGTCTCATTGGGAACAATGTTTAAAATATGTTATTTAGTGATTTCATGCGGTGCCAGCAAAGGTTTTTCTCTCTTTTGTAGTACAGTTAAAAGCCCATAAGAGTAGATCTTTGGGAATGATCAGAACTTTGATCTGCACAAATGAATTATGGAGTTTGTTTTGATGATGCCATACAAAAAGATTTCAATTAACTTCATCTGAAAAATGCATGGTACTGAGAAACTTACATATCCGATTAATTGGCCTTCAGCTCTTGGGTCCCAGTTGTGACATACCGGGACACAATCCAGATTAGTGAGGGGCTGTGTGTAACTGCAGGCTGCCAGCTACACCCTGCAACCTCGGGTTCATTCAAACCACACCCTGAGTGTCTGTGTGTAACTGCAGGCTGCCAGCTACACCCTGGGTCTCACCACCCTTGATTATACTGCAGGAGGACCTCGACACCCCCCCATTCCCTGATCTTTCCCCAGAAACATATGTCCTGTATAGCCCAGCCCTCTTCTGGACATTACAAATATATTAAGTCCACTATTCCTTTAAGGAAATAATATATATACATCTTGTTACCCGAAATGGAGTTACCCAGACACTTGAACTTAAAC